TCCCAAGAAAAGATACGAAAAACGTGAATATATATACTCGAATTAAAAAGTATGTATATTCATGAGGTAGAAAAAAAAAATTTCAAGTTTATAATTTTCGCGGAAAAACTATTCGCGGCGACCCTATCCCTTAGGAGACCTTTACGACGTATATCTCCTTTATCGTTCCCCAATGCATGGGTGTTGGGTTATTTATCGAGACGGCAATAAAAGTCCCGTCGAATGGGAGCAAAGGAGAAGTCGGTCTTTCAGGAATCAAGTGACAAGTGTCATGAATAATCTCAGAACGCGATGATCCCGTAGATCGTACGTCCTGGCTGGTCCACGTGTATAGGTTATGCATGCTGGTTACGTGCTGCTTCCTACTGATGATATACTCTAGAGGGTTAACTGCAGGACCGGAGTGCTACGTCGTGGGAGGGGGCAGGGGGGTAGACTCGTGAGAAACAAATGAGTATGTTAATTCAAGTGTAAAAGTGAGCATGGTTAACCTCTCGCATTTCCATACTAGCTGGAATCTACGAGCGGACTGCACTGGATGACGAAGGGGCGAGCAGGGGGAAAGTAAAAGGAACAATTAAATGTCATGGCGCCAGACAGTTCCTCGTCTGAACTCTCTTGGTTTCGTCTACGGTGTAAGCCCCCAGGGCTCTCGGCACACTAGTCTTTGGACCCCGCTCTGACGTTTTGATAACGAATGCCTAACTGGAGTTACGGTCTTGTCTCATAGCTGACGTATGGTACGTAGATAACTTATCCGGGGATGCCAAAGATTTGGTGAGGACTTTTGCCCTGCTGTTTAGTATGCATTGTCTACGAATTTTTGTGGGAAACATTGTTTTATGAAATTGTGGAAAAAGGGAGGAACCGCGCTTTTACTTTTGCTGGATGAAGTCCTTGGAGCACGAAAGACGGAGTATATATTATTGCCTTGGGGGTAGTGGCAGGTGGCATCTCGTTCGGGATCGAAATTAGCCCTGATGAAAATGAGAACTTGCTCGCTTCATTCCAAGAGACTCGATCTGCGGGATTAACGTTTGCTATGGATGTTAGGAAGCTTGAAAAATGAACATGTATTAAGGGATGATCGATGAAAGCCGAGAGTACTCTAATTGGTCTTTGACGTACGTTTGGTTCCTTTGCGGGAGGATGATATAGAAGTTGATCTTGACGATCCAAGATTTTCTTCAATTAAAATAATTCGATCGACGAACATAAAATTTTTGTTGCGTCACAAACGTGTCATTGATTATTAATACCCATATCGGTATGTGTTATCGACGATGAGGGTATCCGAAGTGTTAAAAATTTTTCTCACCCTCGCGAATCTCACGCAATTTTCGTACAATATTTTCGCGAGACCTTTAAAACGCAAATAGAACTCCGTGTTCCCCTTCGTCGTGTCACGTGCCTCCCGCATCACTCGAAATCTCGGTTATTGACGTGCAAATGCAAAATAAATAATTCTTCCCCTTAACCACCCGAAAATTAGCGTACTCAACCAGCGATCCTTTTTATCGTATTTCTACACTCGAAAAAATTTCACGATTTTTACCAAGCAAATAAATCGCGTACGAAAGTCATTGTCTGGAAAAATTATTTTCACCAAAATATAGGCGTTCTGAAAATACACAACCTGCTCCCCCGAAAAATAAGATGCTTCAACCCACGCAGCTCTACGGCATCGGTAGTACTGCTGAAAGTATTTAGCTTAGGTAAAACATAGCAGAGGGTAGGTTTGCCGCAGGGGGAGTCGTCGGTTAGGGAAATAAGGCGTGAATGATATGTTCCAGCTTTCTTGTCTTTCTCGCCTCATACGTTACTTTTAGTCCTCGGCTTCTTCTCCCTCGTTCTCCAAGCACACACATATCCCAATTCCATTCCCAGGTCGGATCCTCTTGCCGTCCCTCCCCTCTCCCTCTCCCACTCACGCTCACGTTCACGTAACAGTCACAATGAAAAATGATCGTCGGAGTGAGTCGCGTGTAAGTTACAACTTGGCGGACAGCTCGTCGAGTTGAGATCTACTTTACCGACCATCCTCCGCGCGACCTTACACCTTTCAGCCCCATGAAATTACGTTACCAAGTAAACCTTACGTACTTTCGCTTTTTGCCATTAGGATTACGTCACTCGACAACACCTCTCCTCTCATACGGTATACGTATATTTTTCAAAATTAATACGCCACTTATACAACGTCGCATTAGTACCAGCCGACATGGCTAATTAGATCAGTTACGCTAACTATCATACTGCACTTGTTATGCACCGGTTTACCTGCAGCAGAGTCCGTATGTGTAATACATCAATTTAATATTTCTGTTCCCAGTCGTTGAATACTTTCATAATTAAATATGCATACTAGTCAATGCCAGTATATCAGAAAATATATATACAGTCAATAAATCGAAACTCGCAGTATGGCTTTTCCATATAGAAATGAAAGGGACTTTTGAAGTGCAGATACCTTTGAGTATTGATTAGTTCAATATACGCATATACCAAACGGACGACGACTGTTCTATGAGAAATATTGAAACGAAGAACTTTATATCCCTGTTATTTTTTATCTAACGCACAGGTAGTACAGTATCAGGAAAAGAATCACTGTTGGAATTTGTACTTAAAGAATATATGTTGCATAATAACGTCACTGTATACTTTCTCTGCACAGCGCTGTACATACCGGAGAGTGAGTTACTGTCGAAGCTTTTTCACGGAGGTAGAGAAAGTAGTCAATAGTCCGGAAATTACTTTTCCATTTGTTTTAGTCGTGCAGGATTAAAAAGTATTTTCGAAGAGACTTTCAATCTTTCGATTCTATCGCGAAATTACGTGCATAGCGAACGTGTATAGCGAAATTACTCTGCTATACACTTTGACGGATCAACAAACAGTTGGAAAATTCGGGGTATGTCTGCTTTATGTTATAGGGACCGGCGTGATGGGCTTGCTTTGGTATTTTTTTATTTTTGCAATGAGAGCTTGAGAAAGTCAAGATTTTTAGGGCTTATGGCGATGCCGGTTTAATGCGGTTTACTC